CACACACACACACACACACACACACACACACACACACACACACACACACACAGAGGTCGACATCGTCGTAGTCACAGTACACAGAGAGACAGGACAATAAAGCGACACTAAACAACAAAGTCGTCATGATCTCTCGCGGATGGCTTTCGCTATCTCCATAAGGGCGTTACACATCATTCTATTCGCCTTATCCGCCGTAGCATAATGTTTCCTCCGCACTTCCACTTCACTCTCAAGGATTTCGCATTGCCATAACATCATAGAGCATTGGCGCTTGCTCGCGCTGTCCATCGTGCTCGCCATGAGCGCACCATGCTTGTCCATGACCTCGACGATGGCCTCAAAGGTTTGTTGCCGCATGTTCTTCCTTTTCCCGGAACCATCGGCGCTCCCCGCGCTGAATGCCGAATCTTTCATCGACCCCTGCTCCTCGTCGACGGGCTCCCCTCCACCCTCACTGCCCATGGATTCCCTTCCAGCCCCTCGCCTGCCGGCATCTGAACCCCCCCCGGCACCCCCGTGTCCGCCGAATTCTTCGGGTGGATCGTGTGATCCCCCTTCGTCATGGCCTCATCTCCTCGTACACGCTCCGGTCCATGACGAAGTTGACGCCCTAGTCCCTCCCACCGGAGAGGTGCTGAAACTTGGGAACCTTCTTGAATTGTTGAATAAAGTTATCTCATTTCTTCCTGCAGTCGGCGACTTTCCTCGTGACGTCCATCTTCTGCAACATGGACCGCCTGTCCTCCCAGTTCCATTCCCTGGTCTCTATGCGGCTGAAATTGTGCCCCATGCCTGCGAAATACAGATCTTGATCCCTTTTCGCCCTCACGAGTGATCGTGTCTCCGACGGACCAGAAATTTCGAGCGGCCTCGCCATCGCTCCCGCCTGTGTCGTCGTCAATTTTCTTGTTCCTCCAATTTCTCAGAATGGAACCCTTCTTCGCACTCGCACCACCATTCCTTACCTTCCTCCCAAGCGGCCTAATCTCAGGCAAATCGTCTGAGTTGCAATCGTCGTCAATGTCAACGTCGTCAAAGTCGAGGGGCTCCTGAGCAGCCGCATCGTTGCCTTCGTCGACGCGGAGCCCTTGCACCCCTCTCGTTATTGTGTCTGTTCCAGCTTGACGCAAGGCCTGCATGCACTCTGCCCACATCTGCCTGCCGTCACGTTCCACGTGCGCACCTGCCGTGGACCCGTCCTCCTGTCGTTGCCGTCCATGCAGAGTCCCGGATCCGTTTCGCGTCGCAAGTGATAAGCGCATCCATTCCGGACGTTGATCCTCGCCAACCCCTCCTCGGCCATGCCTCGAGGACACATTTTGATTCTCGCCGCCCTCACGAAGTGATTGAGGTAGACCGCCTTCTCGTGCCCCGCACGGACCAACCATCGTCTGCTCTGCGCAATCCCCATCTGGGTGGGGATTGACGATGCGAGTATGTGTCGTATGTGTCGCAGCTGCTTCGCTGCTGCTCGACAACCGGAAGCTAAGATCGACCACTACATTGCCATCGTCGTCGCACAGCCCCTCGTTCAACAGTGAAGTGTAAGACAACGGGGTCTTTGCCCGCCTGCCACCGTAGGACTGAGTCGCCGCCCAATCCTGCGTGGAACCACTTCCCAACGGCACAATCGATGACCTGACGTCTTCCCTTCGTCATTCGACGGCAGCAGAGGAATCTCATGCAAAGAGAGGTGATCATACAACGTCGGATCGTACGCTTGCTTAGCCACAGACCCCGCAGTGCATTGTCGATTGCTCGTGGCGGTTGTCGTGTCTGTCGGTCTGCCGTTGGTCAGTCGTCGATCCATCCAGTCGCCGTTTTTGGAAGATCTCCTTTTGCGAGCCGCGACAGGGAGCAGGCCAACGAAACACACGAGAAGCAGCACGACGAAGAGGAGTAGCAGAGGCAGCCTGTGCAGCTGGTCGGCCATGTAAGGGTCGTGGAAAGGGCAGCAGCTCCACGTCAGTGGTCGACCGTCAAGCGAAGAACTCCTTTGACAGAAGAAAAAGCGAGGGAAGATCCGTGCTTCGACGTGCAAGGCGTGACGGCAATCGACAAAAATGATGATCTTCCAAAATCCACCTGTCGTCGTCGAGCATAGCGCCGGCGCGGAAAAACATTCGAATTTCCGACCGTTGTCGACGATCTTCCAGCGCGGCAGAACGCATGACACCGGCCGGCAACGGCCGGTTCGTCGGACGGAGGCCTCCTGCGAACGGTGACCGTTTGGAGCCGTTGGGATGCCGTCAAGACGGTGGAGGGCAGGGATGTCTGTGCTCCCGTTCGGTGGACCACGTCTGGACCACCCTCAACCGAAACTGTGCGTCGGCGCATGCCTTCGCCGCTCACTTTTTTGTGCTTCCTTGTGTTCCGAGGGACCTCGGGAGGTCCCTTGGAGATTACGAAAAATTGGCTGCAGCCACAAGGACGCTACAAGGAAATTTCCTTGTGCTGTTTTCACATTTTTTTTCGCGAATCGTCCCCAAGGACAGGTGAAACGAGCACTTCCTTTTGGATTTCGGGTCCACAAGGAGTGTCTAACGAGACCCATTCTCCTATATTTCGGTACCATTAGATTCGCAATACATCAACGGCAGAGCTCCATCCCACCATGCCACACGTAATAGAAAGCTTAGTGTTGAGAAAACGCAACTTGGGTGGTGGGACTTCATCCCTGGGGCGAGGTCTCATTGGCAGTCGGATAGGAGTGTGGCCGATCCAGTGCGACACTGAGTGGCAGCGGCCAGACAGGTTCATTATGAATTTATGGGCTGTCGCTGGTCGGTGTTGGGGCTTGGTTGCGCTGCCCTGTAACCCGAGCGGTACGGGAACAAGAGACCTGGTAGAGAGATTTGGGGAGTTGTCGAGGGTGGAAGGTACTCTAGTGTCTATTGGCGAACTGATACTTAGTCGACGCTGGCCGGAGCTGGGGCGGGTCGCTTTGCCTTGTAACCTAGCAGGTGGGGGGATTTCTGGGGTGGGTCATGCCAATCTGTAACCTAGCAGTTGGGGGTGGGAGACCTGGTAGAGATTGGGTATCGGGGTATAGGAGAGGGGCGGATAGGGTTGAGCTGCTGATAGTTGCTAACGGTAGGTGGCTTTCGGTCCGAATATTTCCGTGATCAAATCTTTCAAAAAAAAACCGTGGTCTTACGAATGTTTTGTGATTCTGAGGACCTCTAGCAACTCATTTTAGGAGGCTTCATTACTGTTATACTCGGTGGTCTGCGGTTGTCCGATGCTAGAACGACGCTGGCCCGTACTGGGGTGTTGCCCTGTAACCTGCTGATGCAGGAGTGTGAGGCCTGGTTGAGAGATCTGGGAATGCTTTGGGGTGGGCATTTCAAGGGACAACTAAGGGTTACTGTTGGAACGACGCTGGTCGGAGCTGGGGTGAGTCGTGTTGCCCTGTAACCCGAGCGGGTGGGGGTGTGAGACCTGGAAGAGCTTGGCAGGGAGTAAGACAGCATTGGAGATTTTTAGAAGGATTTGCTAGGGATTCCGAGGGTTTTGAGCATTTATAGGACCTTAGTGAGGACAAAGCCGGGTTGAAGTCCCGATATCTCAAAAAAAAATTATGTATGTGCTCTCAAAAAAGAGAATGCTATAGGATTCTGGGGACTTCTAGCAACTCGCTTTAGGCTGTTTGATACTAGTACATTCATGGATCTGTGGTTGTTCGATGCCAGAACTATGCTGACCGGTGCAGGGGTGTTGCCCAGTAACCTGCTGACTGCAGGAGCGTGAGGCCTGGTAGAGAGATCTGGGGATGCTTTGGGGCGGGTATTCCACGGGAGAACCAAGGGTTGCTGTTGGGACGATGCTGGCCAGAGCTGGGGTGAGTCATGTTGCTCTGTAACCTAGCCGAGTGGGAGTGTGAGGCCTGGGAGAGTCCGGCAGGGAGTAAGACAGTGTTGGACAGTTTTAGAGAGTTCTCTTTGGGAGTCTAGGGGTTCCGAACATTGAAAAGAGGTCAGTAGTCATTCATAGTTTTTCAACCTCTTTTTAATTCTCTTGAATTTCTTCAATAGTTCTCAACAGTTCTCAGATTGATTCTCAGCCGAAGCCGGGTAATGGCCCCGGTATCTTAAATGACTTGTGTAATCCTATATGGGACTATGGGCCCGGCTCCCAGCACGTGCTGCTCCCCACGAATAGACTGGAGCATTTGTCCCAAAAAAAAAAGAAAAAGAAAAAGGAAAAAAAAAAAAAACGAGTTTCTGGGCTGAGGAAACAGGAGAAAGGCAAAAAAAAAAAAAGAAACAGAGACCTCCCACCCGAAATCACGGCGGAGTGCTTCCCAGGGGCCTGGACCCACTAGCAAGGTATTCTACCACGCCGTTCAGGATTTCGATCACGTGTGGCATCGAGTGACTCAGTACGGCCGTCGAATAGATCGGATCTCGACGGCCTGGTAGTTTCCGAGCAGGGACTGTAAAGATGCCCCCCTCCCGTCCAATGAGATGCGTCGAAAAAAAAAAAACAACGAAGTTGGACTAACTTGGACATGATAGCTCGTGGCTTTGCGAGGGCGGGAAGTCTGGATTTTATGGGCTCTAAAGGGGGGGGGTTGATTTCCAGACTTCGTTTTCTTTTTTTTTCGGCTCTGAGAAATAGAACTTGAAATGTGAAATTCGAATATTGTGGTGCATCTGACAGGAACGCTTCCGCGGATGGCCTGCTAAAGGCATCATGAGATACATCGCGAGGAATGTATCGCAATACCCGTTACTTTTTCATCCTCGTGAATGTGTCCGTGGACACATTGTATTGCCACGGTACATCACTATGAAGACTTACGTGAAGGAGATCGCACCAACCCATCAATTCGGGTTCACAGCTGTTCTTCATAGTTTTATGTGCTATTTCAATTCATTTTAAATCAGAAAACAATCCATTCATTCGAATAAAAAATCACTTTGTATTTTCCAAAAACCATAAAACTGTGTCACACGTCGTAGAATACTTCGCTAGTGGGTCCAGGCCCCAGGGGTGAAGTCCCACCGCCCAAGTTTAGTTTAGAAAACGCAACCGTGTGACACCATTTTGACATTAATAAATTCGAAACAAAAAATTAAAAAACTGAAAAAAAACGCTAGAAACAGCTTTTCTCCTTATGTTTGATGAAGTTACTCAGAGAAATAAAACACGTCTGGCACAGTCGGAGTGAATGTCTCCGTTGAAAAAGGGTACTTCCCGTGGTGAGGGGACAGGAGGTCATCATTCGTGAAATGGACAGGGGCAACATGGATGGCCAGATGTGTTCATTGCCCAAAGAAGGAAGAGAGTTTGATGCGAGAGAGCCAAACACAGCTGTCAGAGTTCCTCCGTTTCAGGGTGTAATGATATCTTTAAAAAAAAACAAACGAAAGGCAAATAAGTTGAGAAATGTACCCTACCGAGTTTTCTCAATGGAAAATGGCTTCCCGCCCAAACCAAAAGGGCCAACACATACTACAAAATGGATTTAACTTCAAAGAAAAATTCTACAAAATGACCAAATCTAATAGGTTATTCTCCTGTATTTCGGTACCCTTAGATTCTCAATACATCAACGGCAGAGCTCCGTCCCACCATGCCACACGTGATAGAAAGCTCAGCGTTGAGAAAACTCAACTTCGGCGGTGGGACTTCACCCGAGCGGTGGTGGTTGCAACAACCGTGAACAAAGTAACCGCCACATTTTCTGGAATAAACTTTGGAATAAACTTGACTTCTGTCAGGCTGAGCACTGATCCTGACACCCTCCATATACTCCGTGATTGAAGGAGGGCTCCACCCAATGAGATAATTGCACAACAGCAAGTAAAATACCGAAAATCTTCTATCCAGTGGGCCTAAGGCCAACCCCACCCTCCTTTGGGGTTGGCCACACCCCCAACCGATTGAAAAGATTCTGGGGGGAAGCTTTCTTTGCACAGGCATGCCCATTGTTAAGGAGAGGAGGAGGGGAACGAAGATCTCCTTACTTTTTCGGGTAATACAAGTAAAATACTGACCGTGGGATCACGAGTACTGCACGGCAGGATTTGGGTCACTCACCTGCCCCATAAACTTGTTTCTATCCTATCTAGTGGGACCTCGCCCCTGGGGTCGGGACCCACTAGAGACATTTTACAACCGTCACCACTTGCTGGCGTTTTCAATCACGTGCGGCCCTTCGTCACACATATAGTCTGTGGATGGAGATTGATATCTTTTTTTTTTTTTTTTTTTTTTTTTTTTTTTTTTTYAAAAGCTATATTCTTCTCTCAATTTCACCTCACACTACCTACCTACCACTACTCCTAATTGTAGGCATATGGGGAACCCCGTAGCAGCCAGAACCGTGTTCACGAGAGAACATGCGGGGGCTGCTCCAGACCTGCAGGGGGGCGATACCGGCTAGGGGACAGCCGGTAGCATCAGGAACCATGCCAACAGGACCAGTCCCTGTGCCTCCCCTCAGGTGGTGGTCC